TTGGTCTCTTCCCCGCTGGACGTGCCTGGACAACCTCCCTACGGGAGGTGCCCAGGCTGGCCCATCCTAACTAGGTGCCCCGAACCCCACCTCAACTGGCCCCTTCGAACGCAAGGAAGGACGGTCAACCTCCCGAGTCCCTCCCGGATGACCGAACTTCTCACACTTATCCCTAAGGGAGACACCAAGCCACCTGCGGAGAAAACCCATCCGGCCCGCGTTGTCGGCGCGATCGTTCTTTCGGTCATGACCCATCTTCATGACCCCATAAGTGAGCGGTAGGAACGCCCGGAAAACAGAGAGCTTTGCCTTCTGGCCCAGCTCTCTTTCGTACAACGGTGCGGAAAGCGACTGCAGTACCGGCTCCCAGCTGCTCCGATCCCGGCCATCTCACGCCCAGTTGTTCCCACCATCACCTCGAGAACAACCCTGAGATGCCTGAACAACCTTCAACTTGGGTAAGGACCTCATTTCCTGCTTGAAAGTGGACAGTCGCATCGGTTTCCCTGCTGAGAACCAGGCCCTCAGATTTGGAGGTGCTGATCCTCATCACACCGCTTCAACTCTGTTGCGAACCGATCCAGTGAGTGCTGAAGCGTCGCAGACCGATGAAGCCATTACGAACCACATCATCTGCAAAAAGCATGGTGCAAATCCTTAGTCCTACCGAACTGAAGAACCCCTCCCCCACGACTACGCCCTCGAAATCCGATCCCATGTATATTACAAACAGGATGATGAGAAACAAAGCACAGCCCTGGCGAGGCCAACTCAGGAAATGGGTCCGACTTACGACGCCGGACACAGCTCTCACTTTGGGAGTACAGAGATTGGATGGCCCTGAGTAGAGACCCCCTCACCCCCTACTCCTGCAGCACCTCCCACAGTAACTATCTGGGAACCCGGTCATACGCCTTCTCCAAGTCTACAAAACACATGTAGACCGGATAAGCGTACTCCCAGGCCCACTCCAGGATCCTTGCGAGAGCGAAAAGCTGATCCGTAATTCCACGACCAGGACGGAATCCGCATTGTTCCTCCTCAATCTTGTTTAAAGTCAACATGTAAACATTTGTTTAAACATTGTGTGACTGTGAAGCACTTTAAAATGGATTGTGTGAAAACTCCAACTTATTGTGCACCACTATAATAATCTTTATCTTTGACAACTACTAATTTGAAAAAATGAGTAGTGAACTAACGGAATTATTTGGACAATCGATCAAATCAGATTATTTAAATTGAATAGAGACATAAATAAAGTAAAAAAGGCTTAATACAGTAAATCATGTTTATAACATTTCGATTTCAGTCGACATTTAGCATAAACCGTGCTTTTAAGATGATGAAAGTGAGTAGTAATTTCAAACTAATTCTACACCAATTAAGGGAGCTTTATCTTGGCTATATAAAAGCACATATAAAACAAGCCAAAGTGACACAATAACAGAAATAATTGGAACAATTGATCCAAGAAGATAATTTGCATAACCCTAATAAAACTAAGATGGAAAGAATGACAGATGACTTAATAATTAAATGTATGATTATAAATTAAAACATTTAACCGGATGCGACTTTTCGAGAGCGTTGGAAGGGTGATAACATATTCTGCTCCACTATATTAAAGCTCAATCTGTGATGAATTTCACTTTTGAAAAAACAACCATGGAATAAGACAACGTAGACATAGCGGAGAAGCCTAAATGTTAGTAGTGGAATCTTTCTGGTTTGGCTATTTATGGTAAGATATTTGAAAATAGATTACATTTTGGATTGAATATTTAAAACATTGTACCAGCTAGTTTGATGATGCCAGCGATCCAGTAGACCTTCATGGGCAGACCGCTGTCCGTGTTAGTGACCTCCACCCGAACGCCTTCACTGATGTCGCCCCATGACCTCCCCATAGGGACCTAAACAACAACAACAACATCATATTTTGACATCAAAAATGTTCGCAGAGAAAACAAGTGAGAGCTCCAGAAGGTAAGGTGTGTGTTCATGTGCTGTGTGTGTGTGGACCCACGTGTTTAAAGCAGTCGACCGGCGCTCCCGTGGCTTCAACGTCTTCTAGGTAACGACCCCAGTCGAACACCTCCACAGTTACTGCAGAAAACACACAAAGAACATATGGCTTAAATACACCAGAAGAAGAATAAATACTTTTGAAAGTTTGACAACTTCTAACATCCAACGACAACGTGTCATAAGGATGTGTTGTTCTATATTTAGGTGCCAACAGTTAAAAGAGTAACATACATGCTCACTATGATTAAAATGTTGTCCTATACATCTGAGTCATTCATAGTACTTCTCCAAAATCCAGTCAGTTTTAATGGAGTGTACCACCAGGATTTGAAGCCATTCATAGGTTGATTAGTGAGTTAGTCAGTGTGAGGACCAGAGGTTAACCGAATATTTTACGTCTATGACGGATGTTTTTGAACAATGACGGAAAAATCTGAAAGCATTCCGTCATTTTGATAGATTAGAGCAAACTCGGGACAGCGCCAAAGTTTCCCCGCAGTGAGGCTCCGGTGTAATGGCGTGTTATGCATGCCCTCCAAAAAAGGAAATGATACCGTTTCCAAACCTAACTTTGCCGTACAAATCATTGAATGTTGGCTTTGCGCTGTGTGCGCGCTCCCGCGAGGTGCAATGGGCATGCATAACACGGCGCTAACAGTTTACGAGCGTGCGCCCCCCCCGTTGACAGTTCATGAGCGTGCGTGCTCTCTTTCTCCCCCCCCCATTGTCAGAGTTGTGTAAAGGCTGACGGGTAATACTGGATTTTGACGGAAATGTTACGATCCTGTCCGTCAAAGTCTAGCGCAACCTCTGATGAGGACTCACTGCTTTTCTTGACGCCGCCATGCTGGTTGGCCTGATGCTGAGCGTACGCAGCTAGTTTTGTCATCAGAGGCTGTTTCTGCAGAACCTTGGCCTTCTTAGTGGGCGGCTTCCCCTTTAAGACAAAGAGAAACAGAGACACAGAAACAGGTTATGCTAGGTGCTCTCCAATATCTATCTTTATGCAGATACTATTTCGTACTACAATGCGATATCTCTCTTTATGCAGACGACAATAGTTAGAAAAGCTGGAAGCGTAATAACAGAAATATTTCCAGTAATATAAACTCCTGAAACAGCAGCAGGTTAAAGAGTTGCTGTGTTTTTTTACCTGCAGTCTGGCGAGGATGCTGGCCTTCTTGGAGTTGGACGAGTAACTCCTGGAGCAGGAGACGCTGCAGAAACGTTTTGTTTTACTGTAGAAAGCATCTCTGACGCCCACCATGCCACACATCTCACAGGTCGCTGAGAATCAGACATACGAATATAACTTCAGTCACTTTGTTATGACAAATAGACATGTTCCTGGGATGACAAATAATCAGTTAAAGAATGAAGCTCCAAATGTAATAAGATTAGAAGACAATGCTATGGTGCAATTAAACAAAACCCTGCGAAAGTATACCAAGTCTATGCAAAGAAGTGAGAAGAAAAACAAGGAAACATTTAAATTCCAGAGAATGATTGGAGGAAATACGGGCAAAGCTTGTCTCCGTTGAAATTCTCCTGACGTTCTGACTTCAGAAGTGTCTGAAAAGGTTTTTCTTGCGTATATGGGATACTATCATCAAAAATAAACACCTGAAATGCACAGTACGATGCTATCTGTGTGTAAGTATTAATGCCTCATTTAGAAGATGGATTAGCTGAAATGTTAGCAGAGACCTGATCAACTAAAAACCAAAATTTTTCATTTTGACAAATCACCATTATGCTGGAGTTATTTCTGCATCATTTTGATACGTTTAATGAAATTCAGCCGAATGAAATTATCCCACGGTCAAACTCACACGATTACCAAAATACAGATTGGTGTGTCTATGTTAATCATCTAAATGGTATAGAAATTGATTATTGCTGTGTTTGGCACACTACAACAGTGATCATACTTTGTATTCATGTATGTTTAGTGGCATAATTTTTACATCTCTTCATATGTATCTATTTCGATTTTTGCTAAAGTCTAGATGCCAAACGGCCTTTAAATAACAACTAATACAGATCTAAATATTCTATTAATAGAGAACCAACATCTCCAATTATTTGACTTGCTGTCTGTTTATCACAGTTTTGGGACGAGGAGGGGGATGCATCAGACTGACCCATGCCGGCCTTTCCGTCGGGATATGTGTACACCTGTCCGTTGGTCTTAATGAGAGTCAGGGAGGAGGAGGAGGGGTTGTAGTGAGCCCCCCCTCCTCCCCCCAGCTCCTCCTCGTCACTGTCCTCGGGGCTGGAGGCGCCGCTCCCCCCGCTGGACTCAGTGCTGCAGCTGCTCCGGTCCTCCTCGAAACCGTCCAGCATCCCGAACGAGTCGCGCCGTTTCCTGCAGGGACGCTCCGCCTGGGGAGGAGCAGCTACCGTCAGACAAAAATAGTTTGGAGGCATGTGTTGCTCACAAATGGAACTTATGGCTTTGCATAGGTTGAACATAATTATCTTCTAGACCAGTGGTCCCCCCCCTTGATATCATAAGACTTTTTTTTTACATATAAGGCAATACATGATTGTCACTTAAAGCCTTGTAGTTACATTACAATAAAATATAAAACATAATTGATTGATTCATTTTTAATAAAAATTCAAGTTAGTAGCTATTAAAGGCATAAAAAGATATAAATGTATAATTTTTTCTTTAATAGAAATGTTTCTTCTGCCCGTAAAGTGTCCAAACCAGGCTTTTCTGGATAAGTGCATTTTTAAAACATAGTCATTGTCCATGCCGATTTCATTTGGATTATTTGTCAGTTGCTCCGATCAGATCGGTCTCCTTCATTTTGTAGATTATTTACAACTTTTGAATCCACATAAACACATAGGCAAAATCCAGTTTACTTTGAGCATGTGTTTTAAACAGTTAAATCCCTTTGTGAATTGTTTCCACTTCCGCGCCGTCCTTTAATTTCTTCATACAGCGGGAATCCAAATGAATTAATCCTGAGACCAATAACCATCAAAGTCACTCCAATAGTGCTCCTTACGCTTTCATCCTCCTTTCACAAAATACTTCACATTCATCCAGTTTGTGACAGTAGTTGTAGCATTTTTTAGACTTTTAAACTTTAATTACCGCTGTTCCCCCCCCTAACTTTCTTGGGGAAAAAGGTTGGGAACCCCTGTTCTAGATGACACACTTCCCCCCCTGAAACACTTCCCCCCCTGAAGCGCTTCCATTGGACTCATATGCTAAATTCCTTACCATAGTGATCTCACTATGTAACACTGCCGCTTCTATTGGCTAGCGCTTCAACACATTGTACGTGATTGGACCAATCACAACAGAGCCGGCCAGCTAACCAATCAGAGCAGAATGAGCTCTGGTTTCAGACAGAGGGTGAAAAGAGGTGCTGCAGCACAGGCAGTATGAGAAAAATAAAGAGCTTTTTGAACATGGAGACATGTCACAGTAGAGGAACTAAATACAAATATGAACCCTATAATATGCATCATATTATATTATCAGTGTTTAAATAAATATTGTGAAATATATGTCATATGTAATCATCTTGAAATGCTATGGTTGATTAGGGGACAGATGTACGTTTAACATGTACAAATATGGTTGGTGTATGGTCCATGAGTAACTGGGAAAAATACAAATACAAAACAAAAATAATAATAATAAAGGTCTGCAACCAACAATTAAAAAACACTGAGAAATGTGAATTCAAACAATAAAACAAAGAATAAAATTCAAATAAATTAAATACAAAATAATAATTGAGACAAACAGTCTCTACAAAATGTTTAGACATTAATCTATTAGTAATACAAAACAATTATATTCATAAAAAATATAATTTAATATATTAAATTCACAGAGCTATGTTTTTTGCATTATTCATACTTTTATGTTTGATTCTTTGAGTTTTGCTATGACTAGTAAGGTAAATTCATTGCAGGAGTTTAACTTGTAGTGAAGACATGTTTATAGTGTGGTATTAGTACTTATACTGCAATTAAGGATCTGAAGGATTAGTGTATTTGTAGGAAATATTAAAGAAACAGTGGGATCAGTGGATAAATTCTTGCCAGTTTTTTTAGTATTGTGCAGGATGATGCAGAAATACACAAGTCATCGTATAGTACCATAGAAGTAGTAGTACCATTTTGAGAGTTTTGACTTTGATGATTACCGGGATAATATATTGAGTCAGTTCCAAGATATTATCCAGGGTAATCATGCCATGATATTTTCATATTGTCCCAAGCCTAGCTGCAGCCAATAATTATTGCCATTATTGATTCTTCTGCAGATTAGTGTCAATTAATTATTGCAGTTCTATTGTCAATATACTAATTTAGGGTCTATGAATTATTTGATTTTCCCCACACACATATAGTTCTGCTGCCAGCACCACTGCAGTGCGGTGCACAGAGAAAAGAACAGGCAACTTGACTAGATGAGACACGAAATGACCTCCAAAATTCAGACCATTGTATATTCATTTGATTCTAGAAGAAAGGAATATACGTTATAATAAAAGCTGGGTAGTATACGATTCGGCTAAAGCCCACCTTTTATTCGGCATACACTGAATACACCTAGCACAACAGCGTGTTATGGAAATTGCATCTTATTTTCAATGTATTCACATTGCCTATCACTGCTCTTCACTGTGCTCAGTGTTGAGCGTTATGAGACTGTACTGTGAAAACAGCTATACGATAATAAAGGGACATTTAACTGATTTACAAACTGCTTGGTAAAATAAATGCATGCATAATTAAACGGCGTCTTGTCCGTTTTAGTGACCAATTTAAAGTTCTGGTCAGTGAAATGTGTGCCCATTGTCAACCAGAAAGGGGTCCTGATTTCGCTTGATTTTGCAGTGGAGTTCAGTGGATAGAGGTGTTGAGACCAGGCGAAGCAATTACAAAAAAGCTCTGTTTATGAACGAATTAAATAGTACCTGGACGTATTCTGTGTGCCGAATGATTGCCGATATTGAGCTGCTAAATACAAATTTGGATATTATGTTAATGAAGGATATTTTATTGTGAGATAGCACAAAAACTTAAAAGTAGAGGTTTTCTCAAAGGAGTTTGGCCCTGACTCTGAGCGGTCTCTGAAGAATCCTTCAACGCCGCTGGTACAGCCACAACAAAGGACTTGAATGCGGGTTCCCGCCGGACAGACAAACCGGAGAACTCACCAGATCTCTGGGGTTTTCCATCAGGCCGGGCCGCGGGGGGACTCTCACTGAAACCCTAAAACCCAGCAGAAGATATCGCAACAAAATGATCATACCTGCAGTGCGCAGGCGCCGGGACCGCAGCTGCTCATCTCCCATTGGCTGATGCCTCTGCTCGTGTGTAGAGTTCAGATGAGGTGATGTGTCCACCAGCGACCCCTGCTGGACAGGAACATAAATGTTTTTGTCGTTTTCCATCATTTCCATTATTCTGGGATTTATGGTTTAGTGGGGCAGCTGCTTCTGAATCCGTGTATCTACCGTCCAATTGTTTTTCTTTATTAAACACGTAAACGGAAGAGCGTCTGAGAGGCGTTTTTGCTTTTTGCTTTTCACCTTACTAAATGGTCAAATGGTCATTGGAGCGAGGGGCGGGGCGAAACTCACGGAAGTGATTTCAAAACAAAAGCACTCGTTTGCTAATATCACACTTTGAATCACTGCAGTATCCTACTGAAGGAACGG